AATCACCAGATAACCGTTTTCTTGCCAAGCAACTTTGGAGAACTACCATGAAATTCTGCCCTCGGAATGCACGATGGAGAAGAGTAAATTCATCAAAACCCCTACCTAGATAAATCAGAAATTTGAGTGACAAAATGGGCATGGAAAAAAAATATTTCAACGATTGCGAACAATTGATCAGAGGGCACACCCTACAGTGGTCAGACTAAGGTCTCGGCAGTGCACAAATTACCGGACAGAAAAATAGCAGCAACACACCATGGACAACGACAGTCAAGAATGGCATCTCCTTCGGCCCTACAGTGGTCCATACTCTTTGAAATCCTTGAAGAACAAGAAACATTGCAAATTTGGAATCGAGAGTAAACAACATAACAAAAGAGTTCAGAAATATAAAGGAGAAAATTCAATAGTTAGTACAAAAAAGGTCTTTGTATCATAAACTCTATACATCCAAATCGCTAGGGAGATCCACCGCTCGACTACTCCTGCAAGAACGTCTGGCATGCTACACCTCTTCTAAACACAAGAACAACTCGACATACGTATGTGCTGAATGAAAAGATCATCATGAAAAGTTAATATATTCTATCAAGGTTTACCTGTTACTACATCCTTCCTAAATGTCAGTCCTTGCATAGAATATTCACGTTCTAACAACATATTGTATCATGCAGAAATCACATTCTTCATGAGAGACGCCCCTCACAATGGAAAATCCATGTCATAGCAGAAATTACATGTTGCCTGATGAGAATATACTAATGGTCAAATCGGGCATCACCTTCATCATAGTTCAAGCCTTTACTGTCATTCCTCATATTGTGCACCATCTCCTACGATTCTGCTTTCAGCGCTCCATTCGCTCCTTCCACGCAATGCAACCATAACCATATGCAGCAAGACCCTTTGACAGGTCCATAGACCTCGGTTACACTGCAAGAAAAACAATGTCGACATTTCTGAATTCCACGTAAGTGCTAAAAAGTTAGCAAGGCGGAATGAAAGTTTTCTAGGCTTTTACTCATTGCATTTATGCAACTGTTTTTTTCTACAGAATGTAGGATACACACTCAGATATAAGATGTTAATGCACTTCCAAGATCTATTTATGTATCGGAGGCAGGAAATGTAGAACTTTGATATTCTGTATTGCAAATGACAATAAAAAATAAGCCAGGATGAATCAACTAAAATAATTGGACAAAATCATCTACATTATTGTTCAAAGGAGAGAAAGAAAATAGAAAGCCTTCAATCAAAATTTGGTAGTCAACAACCATTGTACAAATTTCAGTTTTACAAAGTACAATAGTTCATTTTGATAAGATGGCAACATTGTAGAAACAAAGATGTGTTCGTGTTCATCTAAAGTACAGTTGGCATAATTTTTTCATCCTGCAACTACATTCTTTTGATACTTTCGTGGGCACTATAATCTAAAAACAATTGGATTCAAGGGCAAGCCTACTCGATCCTCTTATTCCCCCCAAATTTGCAAACATTGCTGACATAGTGAACCAGCTTCCACCTAATAAGATCAGTTTTAAACCCATCAAATAGACCTACAAATGGAATGGATGTGAGCAATTGAACATAGGCCGAGACAATTTAATAAGGATCAAGAAATATGGAGAAGGGAGTAGGTGGTGTAGTGTCTCGGGTTCCCTCCATCCATGGCGGAGGATGTGCCGGAGCGGGGACAACAGCGAGGCTTTCCGGTGCATGATGCCGGACGGAGGTGGTGGACAGGCCGTGCCAGAGGTGCCCCAAGCCCGAGGGCCCTGTCGTTGCCACCCGCCATGCCAAGGGCGATGGCCAGGGCAGCAACAGCACCGCAGGTGCCGCGCCGGGACACACTGCGCTTGGCGAAGTAGACCGGGAGGTCGCCGGCGGTTCTTTCAGACCTCGACGCCACTGATGAGGGTGGCGTTCCCCTCCGGTAGCGACACAACGTTGTCAGTGGTGAGAAGGCGCGACGACGCCAGCCGCCCTCATTCCTCTCGGCGCCACCGCTCACAGACAGAGAGCTATGAGAATGGAAGGACTTCCATGGGAGAGAAGAGAGGATGTGCTGATCTGTGGAGCTCGGCATTAGATTAGCCCGTCACCCTGCGTCACATATGGCGCCGCCGTCGTCAAACAATTTTTTTTGAGCCAGTCAAACAAAAAGTACGTCCCAATATTTTTGTTCATGCTTGCATTGATTTGTGCTACTCGTAAGCACTTTACTGTAGTTTCATTTACTTATTAAGTTCAGACGTAAGGGCTTGACACCCACGGTGGCCATTATTGTCAGTTTTTCACTGTTGTGGAATAACCAAATGCACATTTCACACATACAAACATTAGTTAAAAAGAAGAGTAGTAATAATTTTGCATGGATCACATCACCCTTGGGAAAGAAAAATCAATTAAGAATGCCCATCCCAATTGCTCAACATCACCCAACATGTGCAACTTGAAAGGCAGTAGACTTTTCTACAACAAGCCCCTTCAGGCTTAGTCGTGTATACATCACTTTCTCCGAATAATAACATGATTGTACCCATCATGCTTTTATAAGCACCTAAAGTTAGAATGCTCTCCATATAAAGGCTTTGACCAACACAAATTCAGAACACTACCTGCCACTTTTGTCTGTTTATCCATTTTGTGTGTTCAAGTTAAGATTTTGTTTTGTTTTCTCTTCGTCACACAAATGCCACAGAAATCACACTCTTGCTTTAAAAAAGACCCTAGGTGGGAAAAAATAGCTACTCATTTATTTTTTTGTAAAAAACGAAAGATATATTGTCTAGAAAAAAATCCTGAATACACAACTACTGACATGAGGAGTAAACCATACTCACATCAAGCATGTGATCCAAGAACGGTATCCCTGACTCCCTGTGCTGCAGTTTGCAACACCAGTGCCGTCGAGGTTGATCTTGACATGTACATTTGACTCCTTGGTTACCTTCCCGACCTTTCCCAGCCTAGACGATGCTGAAAACATTGAACAATAAGACATGGCTAGTAGGGAAGCTGAACAGCGATGAGTTCGTCAATCATAGCAGAGGTACAAACCACTGTGCAGTCCTCTGGTGCTATCGGAGAGTCGTTCCCGCCGACGCCGGTGGCAGCCATGAAAGGCGACCTCAGGCGAAGCGATCGTCCGTATAGCCGCGCGGGGAAGGCGACCACGTTCTGCACTGGTTGGCGGCGTCTGCTTCGCCCGTGGGGATCAGTGGCGGCGGC